TAAAAATGGAAATACCTGTTAAACTCATTTGTCGACTTTTAGCCCTCAAACTTTTTGAGAGATCTTCCAAATCATCACTCTCATAAAAGTAATATCATATATTGTGGGTGGTAATGTGGATGTGCTTTTTAATTAACCAATTGAACTTAAATCGATGGGGTCCAATTACAGTAGCGTTTCTAATTGATAGTGTACATTTATAATAGTTTAATATACGGTAAAAATCACGTCAAAATAAAAAATATACAGAATTAATAATTTTGATACAGCTTTGATTATTGAGAAATAAAGACCTATTGATAGTTCAGGCGCGTTTAAAATTCGTTTCAAAACGATTTTATTTTTTGTATGAAAATGAAAATGAAAATGTTTTCAGTCTCAGACATAAATCATTTTTAAAAATGTGTTTTGTAGTTTTATTAAGAGATTATTTTTCAATATAAAAAAATATATTAAAATTTCTCTCTGCTCAAAGGAAAAAATAAAAATAAAAAATAAAAAATGATTAAAAGTCATTTTTTATTTCTCTCATATTTTATACAATTAAAAAATTATTTTTATTTTTATTTTTTTATCCTTAATGGTGTCAAATACCATTTTAAAATTAATTTATTTTTTCCTTTTTAAAAAATATAAAAATTAAAAACAATAACAATTCTAAACACGGCATTCATATTTTCATATATTCTCATACAAATCTCCAGATTGATGCTGCAAAAGATCTTATAAGTATGTCCACCTCAAAAACCCATCATTATAGTTGTCTCCACGTGTCTTGGTCCAATTGATATTCACGTAGTTGGAGAAGAAACATTGTTTTCAATAATTTAGTACGAACCAATGCTAACATTCCTCGTAGGCCACAGGTGGATCACGGTTTTACGTCACTGACCAAGACGTTTTGTTTTCTATGGCTGCTATGATGAGTGCGAAAAACAACATCGCGAGGAGGATATAGTATTTCTAGAAGCTTTTGGTCTATTTCTTCATAATTAAAGTTGTCCCAAAACTTCATTAATTGGAAGCATTACTCGAGACTTCAAACTGAAGCAATTTTAAGAATGCAGGGGAGTTGACTACTGCCAATGGCTTAGATAGTTACCATTCGTGGAGAGGATCATCATTCCAAGTGAACTCTTGGTATTTTGTTTTCTTTTTTAAACAACAGAATGGCTGTAAAAGAAGAGGGTGGTATTCCCATATATCTTGGTGACTATTTTGCCGCTGCATAAAGAGATGATTAGTGTCATTTCACCTATTTTTTGTCACTTAAAAATCTTGCGATTCTCTAATAGAATTAAAAGAATCTAAGTACTTAATTCTGTTTGAAGGATGAGTTCAATTTTTACTTATGTCGCCGCACACTTAAAGGCGTATAACACATTAACCGGGCAAGTCCTCAAGTGTTGATATAAAGTATCGAACCCTTAACGCATTGTGAGAAAATTTTAAAAAAAAAAAGACTCTTACCACTGCACCAATCCATTGACAATCCTCATAAGTAGGCGACTTTTATAGTTTTACTCGGAAAATGCCAAATATACACACCCAATAGTAGTTTAAGATAAGTGGGATTCCACTTTTGAAGACTAAAGGCTTGTTCTTTTAAGTGAAAAATTCAAAAAAATATAATTCGAGTTACAATTTTATTCGAGTTCATGTTCTTTTAAGTTTAAACACGAGTTCAAACTCGAGTTTAGGACTAAAACTCGAGTTCAAGTTTTCCCTTCAACTCGAGTTCAGAAACTCGAACTCAAATTAATGAACATTATTTTTTCTATTATTAAAAATGCTATAACTTTTTCGTTTTAATTCTGATTGAGATGATTTTTTTTCTATGCGTTGACAACGAAAAGACGAATAAAACCCTACCCATATACCCTATTAAAATTTTTCATCACCATTGAGTTTTTATTAAAATACTATCTAAATACAAATTCAAGTTTTGACTCACTCAAACACAAACTCAAAAAGATTTTTATCTCAAACCATAACTCAAATGTAGACAACTAAACACAAACTCAAGTTACAAGTTCAACTCAAGTTATAACTCAAATTCAACTCAAGAATTATACTCAAGTTAAACTCCAAAAGAACAAGCCCTAAAATTATTTACTTGTACCACTTTTTATTTGTGAGATAAGCAGGATTCCGTTTTTGAATACTAATCATTTACTTGTACTTCTAAGAGCATTTTCAATGCAATGTTATAATTTAATATTTGAGTAAAAAAAAAACACTCTTCAATATAATGTTACTTGTTATACTAAACTTGTCATATGTTGTATTTTATGATAAATTTCTCACTAAGTATAACATATACAAAATTTGACACTTAATTCATATTGATTGATATGGTTACTTTTGATTAAAAACTTTTGCCCTCACAAATTGTTTTAAAATTAAAAGTTCACTTTTATAACTTTCAAAGCGTAATAATTATAACAGAAATAGATTTTAACAATTTAAATAACATTATGTATTGGAGTCTAAATAAAAATAACATGTAGTATTATATTATGTGTAATTTTAATCACATGATTCTAATTTATGAACAAAACGTATCTTAAACTTACACTACAAGAAATGGCATTTCTCCCCGATGAGAGTTTTACCGATGAATTATTTAGTTACATATTCATTTGAGAAAAATTTCGTCCAAAAATGTGTTGAAGTTGAGATGGTCATGGTTGTTGACGAGTTTTCTCCTTTTCTCTATCCTGACAAATTTTCATCGGGATAGAATAGGTGGGACCAAATCCCACCAATAGAAATTGGGCGTGCAGAAGGACCACCTTTGGCCATTGACCAAGCTAAGACCCCTGTATCAATGCCTTTGAATACCGCCCATTCTACCTTAGTCCCTCAACGGTTAACTATTGGCACTTTTGACCTCAACATTAAAGTTGGGTGTGGATATACCGCTAAGTAAGTAGGTTGTAGATTTTTTTTTTTTTTTTTTTTTTTTTTTTTTTTTTTTTTTTTTGGTTAGGGTATAGATTTACAAATACTAAAACAATCTCAACTAATTGGTCTTTTTCACTATTTTTTTTGTTTATGAGCAGAGTGTGAGTGAACACACATCGTTCCGTCTTCTATTCAGTATCTTAATCTCCTTCTAATCACAAAAAAATTAAAAAAAAAAAATGATCTTGATATTTAATCAGTTTTTTCTCTTAGAAACTCTTACTAATAACCTCTAAAAGTTTTTTAAGTGATCTAATTGACTCTAAAACGTCATGAACTATTTATTTATAGTGATAAGTTAGACTTATTTTGTAATTTTGTTAAGTCTCCGAATTAAAAATCACGATTAAAATTGTGATTTATCAGTCTCGTGAATTATCGGATTAACGGAAAGGAAGTAGGGTGTAGAGGTCAAGAAACATTCTATTAATTGATTGTTAACTAACCTCTGCAATTAAGAAATTCACATAATAATTAAAAAAAAAAAAAATTCACACTGGACAATCACCAACTGTGGTTTCCACATGATTTTCTCTTTTCCTTTTTGTTCTTTTGCTAGGGGTAGTAGGGACATTGGAATACTTCATATTTGCTGTAGTTGGGCAGTATTCATTTCTGAGTCCTGTCATCAATCTTTGTCATAACTTGTCAGACAAGGATAAAAAATAACTCTGGCCAAGACAATTCCTGTATTTAGATGGATTTTTTTTTTCCCTTAAAAGTCGCCTTGTATTATCAACTTTTGAACGATTGAAAATGCCATTGCTCCAAAAAAATAAAAAATAAAAAAAATTGGTGACCTCACAACGACAATTATGTGGGTTCCACACTTCCACAAGACATTTCATCATTGGGCAGTCAAACGTGTTAATTATGCTAATATTAAAGCCCTTCCAAGTTGGACCGTTTGCCTCTGTAAAATTTCAACTCTGGTGCTTAAGGACCGGTTTGAAAATTGTACACAAAACATGATTTTTAATTTTGATTTTTAAATTTTAAATTTTTTATAAGATAAGAATGTTATAACAAAATTAATAATTTAAATATATAAAAAAGAGACTCTAAATTCTTGTTTTTATGTATGTTATTGAGAAGTATGACTGAGCTTCAAGTGGTCTTGATTTTAAAACAGTAATTAAGAAAAGTCTCATGGGCCAATACCTTAAAACTTTTGTTTGTCTAGCGCCGACCGCTCTACCACTGAGTTACTGAGGAACAACAGACTTAAGGAAGCCGACTCTCGTTCTTTGGACCAACCTATGACCGAACAAAAATGGGTTCGTCACTCTTTTTCACATACACCGGGAGAAAAGGTTACAATAGCAAGCTCCTCCCCGGCCGGAGAGCCTCCAGGACAAGGGGGCGGTGGTCAACCATCCACTCTCGAGATTCATATTGATCAATCGATCTCCGCGTCTTGCTAGTTCGCTAAGTAGACTCACTCTACCGAGGGGCAACAATCCAACTTATTTTATTAGACACTAAGAACGTTGTGTTATTATTTATTGATACTTTACCTCTAATTTAAAAGTCGATCAAACTAAAATTGTTAAATTTAACCGGTAAACCCATCGGTGTTGAGAAAGCCGACTAACACCAAACCGTCCAACAGTGTGATGGTTCTAAAGTAGATTTCAAGGAAAATTGTGGCATTTTAACCCTACTAAAAGTAGGCCCGCGGCCAATCTAATTATTTGATTCGAGATTCAGTGGAAAATTCCAATTATTATTATTATTATTTTCCTAAAACAACACTAATTTGATCAACTTTTAAATCATAGTCAATAATTAATAATACAAGATAATTAATGCTAATAAAACAATTCGGTAGACAAATGTAGAAAAAACAAAAGTTTAGAGAACATCAGTGCCAATTAATCTACGGTAAAATCGAACTCTAAAATGACTGAGAGTTTGGAATATTTAGTAATATCTCTCATATATTTTGTTCTTATGACATGTGTCTCTATCAATACGCAAGTTGGGCACTGAAGAAGACTATGTCACCATTGCTCAATGTTTTGTGGGTTCAGGGCTTATATTGGGATCTTTAGCACCTCCTACTAAAAAACTCGAGAAAATTTTAGATTTTTAGAGGTGGGTTCTATAACTAGAATCACAAACAATTAGCTTTTGTTGGTAAAACCACATAATATAGCTCATGGAGTTCCAAGGTTTCTGGAGCTCATGGGCTTAATTGGTTCTGATAGATTCAAACCATAAACAAGTTTTAGATATTTTCTCAATAAGGTATGTTTGATTGGGTCATGAGAATGTCCCTCCACACACTGTACAACCCATCTTCTCTTCTTGGTCTTGTGACAAAAGACGGGACTAATTTCAGAAGTAGAAGAAGAAGAACAAATTATCAATATGTGACACCACGAGTATCTTCAGTCTTAGTGCAGACTGATGAAAATGGAAATTCACCAGAAAACAACAAGGTTTTCAGCTCATCAGGCATGGCTCAAACTCAAAGGCAAAGATGTCAAGCCTCCTCAAACCATTTTCTCGGCCAGCCGAACAGCATCGGCATCATTGGCGGTATTTCGGCGTTTTCCACTCTCATTTTCTTGGAAAAGCTTGTCTGGTGGGGCTCCAAGTGTGGGGTTTGCCCACCGTTTGTTGTATGCAGTGACTCAGCATTACACATGAAGCTAAGTTCTTTTCATTCACTCAAGAACCAGATTTCTGAAATCCAATCGGGTTTCGGTCCCGTCGTCGAGATCTTGAGGAGTAAGAGGGTGTTTCTTGAGCAGTCAGGGGCAAGCTGCATAGTCATGCCGTGCCATGTTTCATATGTGTGGCATAGTGAGATATCTGAAGGGTGTTCTCTGCCTTTCCTTCATGTTGGTGAGTGTGTGGCTAAGGAGCTTTCGGAGGCGAATTTTAAGCCTCTTGAAGTTGGCAGCAATGTCAGGATTGGAGTTCTTGCCACCAATGCAGCTCTAGTGGCTGGAATATTCCAAGATAAGCTACAGAATCAGGGACATACAGATTTTGAAAAGCTCTTTGGTCTCGCTTCAGACAAAACAAAGTTAGCAGCGTTTATAACACTAAATTAGGCCACATTGTGGACATTCAAGTGACATTTTTCGAACTTTTAGTGTTAGTAACATTGTTAACTTTCCCTTTTTTTTTATTTTTTTATTTTCGTGTTGTGATGTTTTCCGGATCAGGGCGGCGAGAACTTTTCGTGCATTCTAGTGTTAAATGCCCAGTTCAGGTAAAAGAAAAACTTGTTAAGATTTTTTTATGTTCTGGCGATTACTCACCGATCATGTTCTGGGCATGTTGGATTTTTATTCATAACTACATACTGTCATGCTTTTTCTTGTAGTTAGTGTTTTCTTTTGTTTTTGTTTTTTTTAATAAATGAGTGGAACTCTGTAAGGAACCTAGTGAATCCTCAGCCAAACACACACACACACAGAGGCACAACGTGAAGAAATGAAAGGAATCAGGGTAGCTTTTTATTGAATTCAAACGGCAACAACAATTACAGTAGACAGTACTAGTGCGATAGACCCGGAGATTTCGAGTACTCCGGAACTCCTAGCCACCGACAGTGGAAACAGTACAGATACTATCCAGGAAAAATTCGACCCCTGCCCTCACCCTCTCCAGCCCCCCAAATACCCTGATTTCCCTTTGCCTTCACCACGTCACTTGCCTAGCCACTTTCTGAAATTACTCCTTAACCCCCAACTCTAGTCTTGTTGTCACTTTTACCCCTCCTAGTGTAAACATTCTTCAAAATGGGTCTGACAAACTCATGCAGGACTGTGATAGAGAAATAAAGATAAAGAAAGGGAAAGTAAGAGAGAAAGAGAAGAGAGAACAGCAGAGAGGAAATCTATGTATTCCTAATAATCATCAAGATTCATAGTGAAATACAATTACCATGTCTGATTAATAAGTTAAACGTAACATAACAATCAAAATAACTTCAATGATCCAAAATAATCCTAATAAGATAAACATTAACAAAAATCCTAATTATTTAAATCTCTTGTTCCTCATCAGGAACTTCATTGATGTGCAGGGTTTTGAGGTTGTGTTGCCAGATAAAAGAACAATGGAGCATGTTGTGATTCCTTCGGCGGAGGCGCTGAAGCGAGGGGATGTGAAAGGGGCTAGAAATCTCTTGAAAATAGCAGTGCAGATTCTTTTGATGAGGGGTGTAAATACTGTCATAATTGCCTCTCATGAGATGCAGGGTCTTCTTCCTTATGATGATCCTCTTCTTCAGAAATGCACCGACCCCATGGACGCTTTGGCGAGGTCAACCATAAAATGGGCAAAATCTATGGAAAACATGGTAGAGCATACAAAACTTTAGCCTCATTGGTGGTCTTAATATTCCTAGCATGTTTTGCACATGTTAGCAACTTTCTTTGTGTACAAGACATGGCTCAAAATGGCATTGCTCACTTCTCTCATAGATTGAGCCTTTCTTTCTACTAGTGTCAAATAAAGGAGTTAGAAAAGATAGACTCTGAAGATCAATGCCATGCGCGTAATAGGTGAATAATGCTAGGACTTCCAACTCTTGATATTAAATTGATGTGATATGTGAGTTGTTATTCTTTTTATTATAGGTGTTTAAAAGGTCGAAATAAAAGTTGGGAATTGGGATCCCTAGCAACAACTATCCATCCGGTGATGGATAGAGAAATGAGAGCTATACAAGTCAGATAGAAGAACTCAATCTGCTCTGACATGCATTGCATGGATGGTTCACCGTTTGCTTGTGTAATCTTCAATTTTTCTCCTACCATAATCGTTGTATTGTTTTCTTCATTTATAATTCTTCTCAGCCATTGCTATATGAGCCATATGAACATAGAATGTCTCTGCATGTTATGGCAACAAATCACTGATGACGAGTGAAGCAGAAAACACATTTCCTTTTTGAAGTTTGTGTGCTAGAAAGGAAAGTTGATGATGCTTCATAACGTAAATGATGGTCATCAAGTCTTTTTTTTTTTTTTTTAAATAAAAAAACCTCATATATCAAGGAACTTGCATATAGAAGGTTTTTTTTTTTTTTTTTTTTTTTAACCCCATAAAAAAAATCATATATCAAGGAACTTGCATTTAAAAGGTTTTTTTTTTTTTTTTTTTTTTTAAAAAAAAAAAAAAAAAATTTAAAAAAAAAAAAAATTTAAAAGGGTTTTTTTTTTTTTTTTTTTTTTTTTTTTTTTTTTAACCCCATAAAAAAAATCATATATCAAGGAACTTGCATTTAAACAAAATTAGAGTAACAAACACAATAGTAGGTTAATGATCCAGCGGGGAAATGGATGTACACCTGAGGTTCAAAAACGGGAGAATACCTTGACACACTAAGATCGAGCACACCTACAACTATTTGATAAAATCTCTCTCTGCAAGATAAACTTTTGAGTAATAGAGGAACAAAACATTATGGCACTAAAACCACCAAACACCATCAAAACACCAGTCCAACGGAAACCAAAAACAAATAAAGATAACGGGGTGAAAATCTCGATTATTATAGTAAAAACACACCAAAAATAAAAACATAATAAACACAAAAAGATTCCAAGATCAGTTGTCAAGGAACTCTTAACGTGGAGGCAATCGGCGAGAGCAAAAAACTTTGAAGAAAATGCGGTCAGGTCGAGCAAATAACATAAATGTGGTCATCAAGTCTTTGGTGTCATAATTATATGAATGTGCTTCTTTTTTTTTTTTTTTTTTTTTTTTTTTTTTAAAAATGAATAAGTAATATTGGGACTTATGTAGAGGCATTATTAGCCTCAGTTCAGCCAATTGATAACCGATCTGAATTGTGATACTATCAGTAAGCAACACTTCACACATAACTGAATCAGTAAAAACAAAGAAAGGAAAGATATGTACTCTATAATATGATTTAACTTCGAATACATTATGAACAGTTAAGTGCATGCAAAATAATATGTAACAAGAACAATAATGTAACAACTAAACATGGAGGGGAAAAAAAAGAAAAGGAAGCGATCTTTCCCATATTGGAGATGTAGAAACTACAAGAAGGATGAATTAATCGGATTAGTAAAAGAGAAAATTTGCTATATTGAAAGTAACCATAATCTATCATCCTAAGAACAAACGTATAATAATGCATTTCCATGACAATGGAAAAGGGAGGATCAACTCAGGAACATGAATTTCGAGATTTTGATCGCCTTGAGAATGGGAAGAATATATCTGTGCTACAAACTTGAGAAAGAACCACTAGGTTGTTTTAGACGAGCTTGGCCACCACCCACTGCATCCTGAAAGGCCCAAGAAGAAATGAGGTGATGGGCAATCGCAAATGGCCCTGGGAAGAACATCGGCGCTAGTTCACCGCTCTCGACATTGAAGTCTGCAGCCAAGTTCTGTCCTTTCTCAACTCCCTTGCACATCTGTTCTACCTTGGCAGCTGCAGTTATTTGTGACTTCTTGTACTCGGCAGCTACCAACGCTTTTTTCACATCCTCTCTACTGTGCCATTCAGCATCTACAAAAGACAATGCATAAAGAATGCAATATTAAACACAACTGGCAGAAACTGCAGGAAAAAAAAAAAAAAAAAACTGACCAACCCAAAGCCAATTAGTGATAAGAGTACTTGACAGGGAATGCTATATACTCTGGGCAATATTAAAAGTACCTTCCAATTCTTCCTTGTCAACATTTATTTCAAGTGATTTTGCATAGGCGAAGAACCCAACCATCAGCTGACATGGAATGCTACTCGGTCCAACTGTGAACAAGGCAAGTGAGAAACAAATTTAAAGCAAAAACTTTCCATATAGACAGACTACTACAAAATTCAAATAAAAATTCCAAAAGATTCAGAGGACAGAGTACGTAAGAGCATTGTGTTTCTATCATGCATAAAATAACTTATTAGCCCAGAATTCACTCTTCATAAGATTTTTAACACTAACGTCTTAATTTCTTTTTTTCCTTTTTTTTTTTTTTAGGGGTAACGTCTAAATTGTACAAGGGAGGGAAGAGTACGCATAACTGAAGTCAGGATATGGAAAAATACTTGATGAAGCTTAGTACCTGGCCAGGGCTGAGAACTATGATAAACGACTTCTCCTACTTCGATCCCTGTCTCCTCCCATGTTTCTCTCCTGACTGCCTCTTCTAGGCTTTCCCCTGGCTAAGAACAGTAGAATGAAATTCACAGAAAAAAACAGTAACACAACAACAACAACAACAACAACAAACCTTAATTCCATTTTAATTGGGGTCGGCTTGCAATGAGCAATGATGCATATCAAGAAAAATAATATCATTAATATCATGAATGCATACGTGTCAAAATTCTGTATATTCTGTAAATTATGTAAAACTGAATCACTGTTAGTCCCAGCTTTTTTATCCCTAACAGTTATACTTTAGTTTCATGACACGTCATCAAACTGTTTTTATTTTATTTTATTTTTTTGTTTGAAAAGAAACAAAAACCTATATCAATGAAGAACAAGAGAACAACAGAGACGAGAAGAGGATGTTTGGTAGAAGGATTCGTTTCCTGATTCGAATCATGATTCATGATTCGTTACAGTATTTTCTTTCACAAAAAATTCACGTAAATCGAAAATGATTCGAATCACATGGTTTGAATCCTCCAACTAAACGTCTTTGAAGAGTTATCCTCCACTAATCCAGTTCCAAAAATATAGACCCCCCCCCCCCCCCCCCCCCTTTTATTTTTTTATTTTTATGATGTGTATCATTTTTATTTGGATTAATTACGAAAAGTCCCTCTAAATTATATCCTTTGTAACACTTTACCCCATGATCCCTAAAACATAACAACCGTTCTCCCTGAACAATGAAATGATAACAAAAAATTTCCCTTCGTTAAGTTTTTAACTGAAATTAACATTTAATTTGCTATTTTAAGGATATTTTCATACTTATGGTTTAGATTTAATTTGAATATTAACAAATTTAAACATTAAATTTTTTTTTTTAATAAAATTTTTAACTCACATTCAATCAATAATGGATGTATCATAATTAAAAGTTTAAAGTTAAACTAGTTTTAAATTCAAACTAAGTTTTAAACTATAGAGCTACCAAATACTCCAAAATAACAAATTAAATATCAATTCCCATTAAAAAACCTAACGTAGGAGGTTTTTTTTGTTAACATTTCATTGTTCAGAAAGAACGAATGTTATGTTTCAAAGATTGGGGGAAAAGTGTGACAATGGTATAGTTTAGGCGGAGTTTTTGTGATTAATCCTTTTTATTTTAGAAAACAAGCCACATACCTCTATAAAACCAGCTAAGCAACTCCACATTCGTGGTACAAATCGAGATTGTCTGCTAAAAAGTGCACGGTCGTTCTCTTGATCGATAACTAACATAATGACAACCTGTGCCAAGGGAATATCAGTACAGAAGTCAAAGACATCAGCACAATTCAAAAGCATCAGACTATTCTCTAAGAAACTGAACTGAACCACCCTTCAAATAAAATGTGGCATGTGTTATCATACTGGATCGACACGAGGATAGATTCTTTGTCCGCATGAATCACTTGAGCATTGCTTCCGTCTCCCGGCTTCCTTGGGGACTGTTTTCTCTCCACAGCGCCCACAAAACTTCGATACATTATGCCATTCCAGCAAGGCTCTCGCCTGTAAATCCAACAAAACCCAAGAATAAAGCAACTGTCTTGATTGGATAAGTAAAAAAAGGGCATTTCATGCAATACTATTTTGAGATAAAACATGATCATTTAACCAGAGTCTAGTCCACCATCGTATAGGAAACAATAATTGCCATAAATTTCTTTTTCTCCCCTTACATTTCTCATCTTAAAGCACATTAAATTTTTCAACCACAAATCATAAACCAAGTACCTTTCCGTGTTCCTATTCAGCCCTCGGTTAACAGGTTTAAAGTAATTTCCATGTCATAAATATTATTGTTAGAATGTGAATAAACAATAAATTCAATGGGTTTGTTCTTTAAATACATACCAAAAATGATCATTAAAAACTAGATGTGAAAGTTTGGGCCGGCCCTAAAGCCCGAAAGGCCTAGGGCCGGCTCAAAATTTTATAAAGTATTTAAGAAAGGGAGAAAGAGGAAAATAGGCCAAGACTTGAGATGAATTAAAATTAATAGGCCAATAATTTACATAAGTTAATAAATAGACCAAATTACTGTTTTCGTCCATAACTTGTATGGTTATGAACTATAACTTGACAAGTTATTCTCCGTTTTTGTTCATAACTTGTCTGGTTATGAACTATAACTTGACAAGTTTATCCATAACTTATCTGGCTATGAACCATAACTTGACAAGTTATGACCTATTAATTTCTATAACTAAAAGTTGGCCTATATACTTTCTTAAGCTTTTCATATTGGCCTATTTCCTACTATTTCCCTTTAAGAAAATCTTTACAAAAGGGTGTTTGGGCCGGGGCTGGCCATCAGTGGCGGGCTTCAGGCCGGCCTGTTTAGCACAGCCCAAACTTGCAGCTCGATTAAAAATAAAAAAGAAAAGAAAAACCCCAACAATGTTCATGTGTTAGTTTACTAATTCTTCTAAGAGCTAGTTGATAATAACTTAACCCCCATTTGTTTCACTGGTTTGGCTTAATTCAACTCAGTTCAAACAGTGAGTAGAGTTTAAACTCTTGTTTGGTAAGCTTGCAGCTCAAATTATATTTCCCATTTGAACTGAGTTAAACTGTCAAACTTAGAGTTTAGCTCCCGCTTAAAGTTCAGTAGTTCAAACCATTTTTAAACAATAAAAATGTGCCTACTCTCTCTGTTTTTCACACATATCAAACGCAAATTCAAATTTTATTCCTTGTTTAGATTAAAATTTTAACTGCACATCTAAACGCCAATTCGAACTACAATTTAAACCATACAATATAAATTTTTCTATTCAAACAAAAAAGTTCAAATCAACAAAATTCGAATCAATGAACTAAACGAGGCCTGAGTACGTTTGGAAAATTCAAACTAGAAAGAATTAAAGAATAACAATGGACATGCGCACTCATGCCTCAACACGCAACAACTAAAATTGTAATAACAGAGTTCAAACTTTTGTCACCATAAACCTATGTTTAGTAAGAGGTAAAGAAAATAAGAAGGAAAGAACATAAAGAAAAATGATACAACTTTTGTCACCATAAACCTATGTTTAGTAAGAGGGAAAGAAAATAAGAAGGAAAGAACATAAAGAAAAATGACAAGCAACTAGCAAGGGGAGGACTTTTCTCCTATTGTATTTGGCATGTATTACCTCCTCCAATCTTTCCAATTAAAAGAGTCTTGCAGAAGATTATTGGTGTGTTCTTTTCATGGGTTTGACTAGAAAACTTAAACTCAAATTTTAATGAGAGAAAACATTGTAGTAAAGAGGTTGAATTGTCACTCAATTGTGAAAAGAACGGGCCCTTTAAATCTCTGATCCAATCCATTCACACCTCTGATATCTCCCACCAAACTACTATAAAGCTAAATATCCAGGCACTAATCCTCCAATCCCTATCCCTCATTTACATTTTTTCTTCCTACCAAACAACACTTAAAAGCCAACCTTGTAAGGTTCAAACTCAGGATCACGTACCTTATTCCTACATTAGTCATCAAAACCTACAAGATGTAGAACACAACACAAGGGCATAGAGAACAATAACTTCTATTGTTTAAATTGCTATTACACCAAGACCACACTTTTTCAAAAATATAACATAAACAACCAGTTTCATAAACTAGCTCACGGCACACAATCAGAGAACTACAAACTTAGAGGAACCTCACTACAAGGCAAAATAGAAAACACTACAATTTTCCTTTGCCACTACTTCGGCTTCACTCTCTCACACACAAACACTTATTTTCTTTCAAGCTTCCTCACTTTGCCGTGCATTGAGTGAAGGCAAGTGGCCTTATTTATAGTTGAAGAAAGCCTTTGGATGCTTAACACTTGGCAACCATCAACAACACTTAAGCACTTTGTAAGGTATGTATGACTTCTCAAGGTATGTATGGGTTTTCTTTATGAAAGAAAAATCCAATACATTTTCAAAATTTAAAGAATTTAAAGAAATAGTTGAAGGAGAAGCCGGTAGGAAGATCTAGTGCTTGTGCACGGATAACGGTGAAGAATACACTTCGGATGAGTGCTCCCAATATCTCCAAAGCTCCAAAATACGCCATCAGTTCACATGTGCAAATACACTGCAACAGAATGGAGTAGCGGAGAGGAAGAATCGACACCTTGCAGTGACGTGTCGAAGTATGTTGCACGCCAAGAATGTACCTGGGAGATTTTGGGCTGAGTGTATGAAGATTGCAGCTCATGTCATTGACAGGCTTTCTGCAACCAAGGCTTGGGTTTATCTCACCCTTTGAAAAATTGTGGGGCACGAAGCCTACAGTTGGTCACTTCCTAGTGTTTGGTTGTGTGTGCTACATGTTCGTACCGAGTCACTCATGTAGCAAATGTGACAAAAAGGCAGTTTGATGTATCTTTGTGGGATACGACAGTCAAAGAAAAGGGTGGACGTGTTGTGACACAACTAGTGGTCGATGTTATACATCGCGGAATGTAGTGTTTGATAAAGCGTCTTCATGGTGGTCTCCACAAAAGGAAGAATTACTAGATTCTAAAGAGATTGAAGATCAGTTGCAAGAGAAGATGGGGGAGCAAATTGTTGAGGTACTGCCACGTCCTGAAGCAACTGAGGAACCAGAAGATGAGAATGATGGTGATCACATGGCAACGGCGAGTCCTTGGCAGACTGGTATATGCCAAAGACCAACAGAAGAGGTCAAACCAAGTCAACAAGGTATAACTAGTCCCCATAAACAGCTTAGAAGATCAACCAGAGTGCAAAGGCCAAATCCTAAGTATGCCAATGCAGCCGTAGCGGAGGAAGAAAGCCCAAAAGAGCTAGAGACGTATGATGAAGCACCTAAAAGCTTCGTATGGGTAAAGGCTATGAAGGAAGAAATCCGTGTTGGAGCAAAATCAAACATGGGATCTCATGCCAAAACCACGAGATGTGAAACCCATATCGTGCAAATGGATATACAAGATCAAGACTCACCCTAATGGATCGGTTGAGAGATATAAAGCTTGACTAGTAGCTCGAGGATTCTCTCAGTAATATGGACTAGAATATGATGAGACGTTTAGTTTGGTGGCAAAAATTACTACCATACGAGTTCTTTTGGCACTTGCAGCTAGTAAAGATTGGAAACTCTGGCAGATGGACGTGAAGAGTGCCTTCTTACATGGAGAGTTAGATCGAGAGATTTATATGATTCACCATGGGGATTTGAGAGTAGAGCTCATCCTAACTATGTCTACAAGTTGAAAAAGGCACTTTATCATTTGAAGCAAGCGCCGAGGGCATGGTAACGTAAGATTGCTAAACTTCTAACACAAAGTGGTTATTCTGTGGCGCATGCAGATTCTAGCTTATTTGTGAAGGCTAGAGAAGGAAAGTTGGCGATAGTACTGGTGTACATGGATGACTTGATCACCACTGGAGATGACGGACAAGAAATTCATCGGACAAGAGAAAATCTATCAGTGGGCTTTCAGATGAAAGAGCTCGGGAAGCTCAAACACTTTCTTGGACTAGAAGTCGATCGCACAAAGGAAGGAATATTTCTTTATCAACAGAAGTACGCAAAAGACCTTCTGTAGAAGTTTGGGATGCTAGAGTGCAAGCCTATTTCAACGCCGATAGAAGCAAATGTTAAGCGATGTGCTCATGAAGGGAGGGACTTAGAAGATGGCACTATGTACCGACAATTAGTGGGGAGTCTGATCTATTTGACATTGACTCGACCAGACATTTCCTACCCAGTTGGAGTGGTGAGTCAGTACATGTAGAATCCAAAGAAGTCGCACTTAGAGGCAGTTCAGGGAATTATGAGATATGGTACAATTGATTATGGTCTTTTGTACAAAAAATGTGAAGACTGTAAGTTGGTTGGTTACTGCGATGTTGATTATGCGGGAGATCATGACACGCGTCCATCAACAACTGGATATGTGTTCAGACTCAGTTCTGGAGTAGTTTCATGGTGTAGCAAAAGAAAACCAACAGTTTCACTATCAACCATATAAGCAGAGTATAGAGCAGCAGCTATGGCAGCTCAGGAAAGCACATGGTTGATCTAGTTGATCGAAGATTTGCACCAATGAGTTGATTACGCAATACCACTTCATTGCGACAATTAGTCGGCAGTCCGTTTGGCAGTAATTCCAGTGTTTCATGCGAGAACAAAGCATGTGGAGGTGCATTAACATTTCATTAGAGAAAAGGCGTTACAAGAACAGAGACAGTTGATCAAGTTGCAGACTTGTTCACCAAAGCATTGAGCACTGGAAAGTTTGAAAAGTTTCGACTTCGACTTAACCTAGCGAGTCGAGAAAGAACGAAAGCCAGCGTTAAGGGAGAGTGTTGAAATCAACACCGGCTCTAGAGATTTGGAGCCCAACTTCTATGCTAGCCCAACTGAAGCCCAATATTTACAAAGTCCAAATAGAATGCTTAGTAAATAAGCTTTTACAGCGTGCTATCCACGCCAAGAAACTTCTAGGAAAGTGCTTAAGTGCTGTTGATGGTGGCCAAGTGCCAAGCATCCAAAGGCTTTCTTCAACTATAAATAAGGCCTCTTGCCTTCACTCAATGCACGGCAAAGTGAGGAAGCTTGAGAAAAAATAAGTGTCTGTGTGTGAGAGAGTGAAGCCGAAGTAGTAGCAAAGGAAAATTGTAGTTTTTCCTATTTTGTCTTGTAGTGAGGTTGCTTTAAGTTTGTAGTTCTCTAATTGTGTGCCCGTGCCGTGAGCTAGTTTATGAAACTAGTTGTTTATGTTATATTTTTTAGAAAGTGTGCTCATGGTGTAATAGCAATTTAAATAATATAAGTTATTTTTCTCTATGCACTTGTGTTGTGTCCTACATAAGATTGGGTCAACTGTGGTTTCAACTTCTAAAAAGTAAATTCAAAATTTCAAACCATGTCCCAACTAGTGATAAACTCAATTATAATAATTAGAAAGAAACCATGATCCTTATCAGATGTTACGTTAACTTTCAAGCAAACATACACGTTATAAACTCAATCACTGATATCATGAGTCTATACGTGGCCAAATTTGTGAATTCTGTAAGGCTCGCACTACAGATCGGTCCCAACTTCTTTTTTTTTTTTTATTATTATTTTTTTTTACCACTAACAAGTTGCATTTTAGTTTCATATGTACCATGAAATTGTTTGTTATATCTTTCCCACACTTTTATTCTCTAATATCATGTAAGGAACCATTGGACAGCTGAAAAAACAAAAGCATTAATCTCATAAAAATGCCCCTGAACTATGTAAATCATAGTGCAACATGCCACTAAATTTTAAAAGGAGTTCATTTCAGCCTCGTTGAACTATGTAAAGTTGTTCAAAGCATCCGCTGATCTAATGTAATTTCACAAACGCCCCAAAGCAATTGAATTTGTATCAACTTACCCACCGATCTTTTCTAGGGATAAGTTGATTTAGAATCAATAGTTCAGAAACATTCCCTAAATTATATAAGTAGTGCAACATCATCATTTTAACTACGTACATAGTTCAGGTTCAGAGCCATTTATGAAATTTTTCCAGAAAAAAAAGCCTTCAAAACAACAATTAAACCAAAAAGGAAAAAAAAAAAAATCACTCACATGACCAGCAATAGCCAACTGCCCCATGGCATCCTCATCAGCCCAATCAGTTGCCACCATCAACGTCCTAAGCTCCACAAACGACGACCTCCGACCACCCAATTCAGGCACCAACCCATTCTCCCCAGACACATCAACCGCCCAATAAACGACATCCTCCTCCGCCGTCGAACCCAGATAAACGACAGAATCTCCCACCATCTCAACCCCGGACTTCGCCAACAATTCCTTGCAATCCCACAACCCAATCCACCCCAATTTCCAAATCCCCTCCGACGACGACGCCAAGGGCCTCCCCTTCCTGAACAGCAAGACCTTGAAATCCGGAGAAGCCGCCACGTGGCCGCTATCCAGAAGGCGGGTCTTGAGGGTCCCGAGAGCTTGGGAAGGAGAAAATGGGTCGCCGGATTTTGGGGTCTTGGAACGGAGGGGGTTGCCGGCGAAGGCGTGGGAATGGAGGTTTATGGACATGGTGGTGGTGGTGGTGATGTGGATGTGAGAGAGAGCTCGGGAATGGAGGAGTTTAGAGAGAGAAAATGTTGATGATGATATTGATGGTGATGAGAGAGAGAGGAGAGAGAGCATTGGAGTTTTCTTCTTCTTCTTTATTATGTATGTGTCTGCTTTTCGTTTGATAGTGGCTCGTTTTGGACTTGGAAGAGACGAGTTTGGGGATGACGCGGAGGCTTTGCATGGCGACACGTGTATTTGTTAATTATGAGAACGTTTTGAGGTTGCGTGTTGGGTGACGTGGGTCAAGAATCGTTAGTGTTGTAAACTTTTTTATTTATTTATTTTTATTTCTTTTTTAGAAAGTTCTATAGCAGGGGACAGCACGGGATTCCCTACATACTGATAGGAGATATGTTTTACACCTTTCGATTCAAATTGAACGGTAGAAAATTGTTAGAGGCTACCGACTTAACACACGAATGTTTTGTTTATTTTATCGATTTAAATTTTTAATTTTTAATTTTTATAATTAAAAACTTATTTGAGTTTGTAAATTTGAGTTTTAATTTAAGTTGATATGTAATTTTATGTGAGAATTTTTTATTATAGTAAAACAATTAGATGTGACTTTTTATAAAAACATTTAATTGTAACAAAATTAAAATTAAAAACTCGAATTGAAAATTTAAATCGGTGAAATAAACGAGGATAAAATTTTAAAAAAAATATCACATTTAACTTTTTCTGCTATGATTAAAAACTCTAAAAAAAAATGTCCGTGAAGCAAACGAGTTTGCATTCCACATACTATTCAAATTATATTTTGGAATAAACAATAAGAAAACACAGAAAAAGCTTTGCACGTCATCGTTGAGATTCGTCGAAAGGCCAGAGGAGGAGCTCTCGTTACTGTGGGGAGGAGAGGTTGTGTTGGCGCTGTCGTGGGACGCCGCCTAACAGTTTTGCAAAGTTTTTTTCTAATCCCTCTAGCCTTGAATCCGTCGGAGGGCGAGTCACAAGTGAGGCGACGAAGGCTTCTTGGAGTTTGAGATGGTGGGCGAATTGCCCACAACGGCGGGAGAGGGACGTGGATCGCATCCATCACATGTAATTGTTGGCCGTGTTTAGAATTGATCCCGTTTTTATTTTTTACGTTTTTCAAGAAAGAAAAAATGAAAATGTTTACAAAACGGCGTTTGGCGTAATAAAGACAAAAAAAGAAAATAAAAACGTTTTTTTGGTTTAGTGTAAAATGAGAGAGAAATGAAAAATGATTTTTAGTTGTTTTTTATTTTTTATTTTTGTTTTTGTTTTCTTCTCTCTCGAGCATATAGAGAGAAAGAGGGACATTAATGGGTTTTTACACTAAAAATAATCTCTCAATAAAACTACTAAATGCATTTTTAAAAATGATTTTTGTCTGAGATTGAAAACGTTTTCATTTTCATACAAAAAATAAAATCATTTTGGAATGAGTTCCAAACGCTCCCGTTGTTTCTTTGTTTTTAGTTATCTGTTTGCATTTTTAATTGGTTTCTTAATCGTTCTTGGTTGCCTGAAAAAAAATTGAGAACTGGGTCTTGAAAATTTTTTGACGTATTTGGAATTGTTTTTATTTTTATTTTTAAAGTTTTTCAAGAAAGAAAAAATAAAAATGATCTCAAAACGGCGTTTGGCATAATTAAATACAAAAAATGGAAATGAAAATAATTTTTTAGTTTAGTGTAAAATGAGAGAGAAATGAAAAATGACTTTTGGTTGTTTTTCATTTTTTTGTTTGTGTTTTCTCCTCTCTCGAATAGAGAGAGACATTAATGAATTTTTTTATACTGAAAATCAGCTCTTGATAAAACTACTTAACGTATTTTTAAAAATGATTTATAAAATGATTTATTTTAGAACGAATTTCAAATATGCCTTTTGAGTTTTTTTATCTTTGTCTAATTGATTGATCATTGTTGGTTTGTTGAAGGCTTGCTGTTGATTATGGGTATTTCGTACATCTAGGACTTTAAGCTCATTTTCTCCTGCATCCCTCTCTTGAAGATCTGAAAAAAATTATTTCTTTGAGCTATATATTGTTCTATTGGGGAAAATGGAAATCGGATTTTCCTTCCCTTTTAGACTTTCTTTTGAGGTTGAGGTCGTACTGGATCAGGGATCGTCTTGGCAGGTAAGAGCTCAGGCAGAAAAAGTCTTTTTTTTTTTTTTTTTTTTTTTTGAGGAAAAAAGTATATTTTTTATTATTTAAATTAAAATTATTATGACTAGTGTCTCTAATTTGCTTCTTGAATTTTAAAAATTCTCATTTTATTTACTAAATTTTAAATTGTTCTTATTTAATTTTTTTTGTTACAATTTCTGTTAAAAGCAGACGAAAAAAATAAAGTTAAGTGTTGCTATGCGGTTCTTATATTTTTGTTTCTAACATAAATTCAAATAAAAATATCACGCGATTACATTACTCTATTTTTTTTATCATTTTTAACAGAAATTATAAAAAAAAAAGTTAAGTGAGAACAATTTAAAATTCATGAGATAAATAAGAATTTTTAAAATTTATGAGATAAATTAAAAATGACCCTAAAATTCAAGAACACCAATAATAATAATCCTTTAAATTAAAAGTGTTTTGTAATACAATACCACAAGGTTTATTTAAGTCCTCTAAATCTCCACTGAGATTTTAATTTTGACCATAACATTGTTCCCTATTGAAAGGGAAAAGTAGTCATCCCCTACTATAGAATTTCTCTTTTTATTTTTATTTATTTATTTATTTGTAAATTATGATGATGTTTGCGACATAACGGGAAAGGACTATTAACACTATTATTAGCCATTGTGTTATGAGTAGGGCTTTTTATCCGGACATCCCTGTGATTTATCAAAATAATAGAGATCCAAATTAATAACGTCAACACCTCTTATTTTAATTCTGTTAATTTTGGTTATTTTATGATGCAAATACTCAACTAATATCAGTTTCAACTCGTTCATTTTACCGCTTCGAGTTTTCAATTACATTTTTTCTACAGTTAAAAGCTCTTACAAAAAGTCACATTTAACTTTTGCTGCTACAGTTAAAAACTCTTACATAAAATCACATCTCAGCTTGAATTGAAAATTCAAATATGTGAACTGAACGAGATTGACTGTTTTTGTACGAGACTTCAGATAAAAAGGAAAGAGCAGTTTTGTATTGAAAAAAAAAAAAAACTGACCAATTCCTCTTATTTGGAAAAAAAAGAAAAAACTAAACAGTAGGAATCCTCCGTCATCGTGCTTTCTCCCACCTATTCCTCCGCACTCACCACGTTCCACAGCTCTTAGCATCGTGTGGCATCTCTTCACCGTCACGAAGCCCGTACACAATGTTGTTGCAAAGCCCCATTGCTCCCCACATTGTCCCATCGCAATTCATGCCACTCCTGTCAAGACTCAAGATTCCTCTCGACAGCTACCTCGACGACTCGCAACACCTAAACACTTTTTGCGCAGCTTTGTGCGATCTAAGCATTGCTCCATGAACAACTGATATTGACCCAAACACAAGCCATTGTCGTGGATTTTTGAACCACCAAAATTTTTCTTATTGATGAATTTGTTAAATTTATCCTTTTATTTGTCAGTTCATCATCTAGTCTTTTTAAATATTTTAAATATATTTTCTTAAAAAACAACTTTAGGGTGTCAAAATCATGCTTTTTTAAACATAAAGGTATCTTTTTTATATTATTAAAAATATATAATACTTTCATGATGTTTTGGAGTAAGAGAAAGTACCAAAGTGATTAAATCCCTAAGAACTAACAACATAAGTAGAATTTGCTTGTGTTTCTGTACTCTTTAAAGAAATCAAGAGAGTACTATTCCACTGTTTTGTTGTCAGATTCGAATGTTTGCTTATATAGACATCAACGATTAAGGTTGTAATTTTTCTTTTATTAACAAATTTAAGAGAGATCCCTAAAGAACTTTGGGTTCCCAATTCAACCTATCGGATACTACTGCTCTACCTAACGAGTGCCAAAATAAATCCAGAACTAGGGGAGAACAAACTGTACTACAAGTGCAAAAACTTTGCTACAACGTAGAAAATGGAGCTATATATAGATGTTAAAATAAAACCGACAAGGTATAAATTAGAACAATCTCATTTGTCTACCATGTTTATTTCACTGATTCGAGTTTAAAATTTGAGTTTTTCTACAGTAAAAAGCTCTCACAAACAATTACATCTAATTTTTTTGCTATAATAAAAAGCTCTCACATAAAGTCACATCTCAACTTGAATTAAAAACTCGAATCAGCGAACTATGTTAGAAACTCTGATAACAAAGACTTAGAGCACATAATAAATAAGCTTTCTAAGATTGCTTGCGGATTTCAACAGAAAATAGCTTTCAAGATATGACAAGCTTTTTTCTTTGTGTTTCTACACTACCTAAAAGTGAAAAAATAATAATTTTTTTTTTTTTTTTTTTTTTTGGGAAGGAAACAAAATTGAATGAATCACATCATTTCTAATCACGTCTTACTTATTTATAATTTAAATGACAACCTTTAATTCCACCCTTTAGATATAACTACCACCTAATTCTTATCATTTAATTGTACCCTTTAAATATAACTACCACCTAATTGGAGAGGTTACAACTTCTTTTTAAAATTTGAATTACACTTTTCTGAAAATGATAACCTTTCTAAAAAACTTGAATTAATTTAGAAAACTCTAATTTACTTAAAATTCAAATTTTAAAAATAAAAAAATTATTATTTTAAGTAATATTGTCTCTACCCAGAATGACCGTGAGCTACAAAAAATTCTTGTTATCAGTTCATCAACCTACTCACTAATGTGGTGGCCTATAAAGTGCTACTCTGTACTCCCTACTTCATAAGTTTTTCGGTTGTCAATTACAAGTCTCTTTGTAGGCTTGAACAAAATAAACAACATTATAATGTGGAAAACACGAAAAAAAGTAAACAGTTAATAATATGGATCAATCTCACTCCGTATGAATTTTTGAATCATTTTCACTTTATTTTCCCGTATTTTAAAACTATTTAAATTAAATAATAATTTATGTAAAATAAATAATTTACAGTGTAAATAATTTATTTACAATTAGTAAAAAAAAACTTAGGAAAAAAATCTTAACAATTTTTATTTACGTGGAAACACATCTTTTTACCGGTCGTAAAAAAAAATTTACGTGAAAAAAATATTTTTACTAATCGTAAATGAAACATTTACGCGGTAAATGAATCATTTACCATATAAACTGCTATTTACTTTAAAAAAATTTTAAAATATACTATTTACTTTATTTAGTTTTATAAATCTGTTATTTACTACATTTTCCCTTCTTAACCACCCTCACATGGCGCCACTTGCTTCTTCTCCTCACTTAAAAAGTAACAAATGGGATGGACTTAAAATTTATAGTGAAGTACTCTTAAAAAAACATAGAGTTTCTCCAGTAGGACTGGAAAAAATGAACTATAAGAATATATTTATTTTTCAGCTATCATATTTATATAAAAAATTATCTGTTTTTCATACTTTTTCAATCTTATGTAATTTTAATCAGATTTAATAGTTAAAACTGACTCTACTAGTAGGCTAGCCTACCGGAGAACATATAAAAAAAATTATAATAAAGTGAAAGTTTTTAGAATTCAGAAGACAAAGTGAAGATGAATACTATAAAGGGAGTAAAATGAAAATATAATCAAAGAATAAATGTCTGAGTTGCCGACAAGATATACTTATTCAAAAAGTAAAAGCATATTTACACTGTTGCCCCTAAAAGTATTGCACAGTGATAATTTACTCCTTGAATTTTAATTCTAACAATTTGCACCTTGCACTAATAAATCTATAGCAAATCAACTCCATTGATAATGGTGTTAATTTTTTTTTATTGAAATTGACATTTGATTTTCACATGGATAGTTGATTAATGACATGAATGGTCTTTTTAAATATTATAACCCAAATGTTATTATGATCTTTGATTAAGTTTTGTCAAAATAGAAAGTCTCGAATTAACTTTATTTTAAATATAAATTTGGGTTAACATCCATGATAAACGACCTTTCATGATCTTAATTAACGACATGTGTGAAAATCACATGTCAATTTCAGTAAAAAATTAACATCGTTATCAATGGGGGGTTATTTGCTACAATTTGTTGGTTCAGAGTGCAAATTGTCAAAATTAACAGTTTAAGGGGAAAATTACACATGTATGATAAATTCAAGGTGCAACGTACCTATGAAATTTATAGAGAAAAAAATAGCAGTCTCACCAGTTCCTTTTGCGATAGTAATCAGCTCCAAATTATGATGAAGAATGCAAAAATGGATTAATCAAACTTAATAATCTGATCCACATTTCCATTCCCCGTCAATTATGAATTGCACATTTCTTCCACATTTTTGAGCTTTTGAATCTTCAACATTTTTCGTTTGATATTTTTTTCCTAGTTCACTCTCCACTATTCTTGTTCTTTTTCTGGAAAAGGCCTTAAATATCATTTACATGACTACCGAAATAGTAGAAAGACCCCGGTCTTCTTCGACGAATAAAATTCTCCAAAGTCTAAAATAACCTCAAATTTGTCACCGCTCT